AAAATTTTAATATTCTCTAGGAAAAGTGCATTTAAACTTCAGCCTCAAAGAATTCATCCCCACAGTTATGATCCCAGAAACATAAATTCAAAGTACAAAATCACAAACCTCAAGGAAATAGCACCCCAGTCTTACTGGTTTGAAGACAAGGTCTCGTTTTGTTCCAATCCTGCTGCCTCAGCCTGTAGGCACTATAGGCACATATGCCATGAGCCCAGTATTTTAAGGTGGGTTGAAAATAAAATGGAGCCTCCCATCTGGCTTCAACCTGCCAGGTAGCAGAGTCTACCAGCAAGCTACAGCAGCCGGACCCACCCATGTTTTTTAATTATTGTTTGTTTGAAGTATGCACTTAACAAGGCCAAAAGTATCATTTTTGAAGACACAGTACAAAAACGCTACATTTTGGGTACTGGATTTAATAAAAACAAAATACGGACTAAAGATGTTCAGTTTGGATTAGAAATGAGAAAATGACTTGAAAAAAATAACCAAAGAGAACATCTGAAACAGAAAAGTATTCTAACATTTTGAGGTGAAACATATAAAAGAAAAATGAAGAGAAATGGAAGGTACAGTGGAAAAAGTCATAGAGATATCTTAGAGATGTTCTAAGCAATAATGGACGAAATGGAAAATAAGCAACACTGAAGAGAATATTTGAGAATTTTCTATTATTGTTGTAAAATACCAATCCTGAGATTTAGGATCATCTCAACTCATGGCTTACAAACATTAAGAAAAGAAAGAGAGGAAAGAAGGAGGGAGGGGAAAAAAGGTGGAAAGAAGAAAGGAATCCAGACTTAGATCACTATGAAACTGTAAACATATAAAAGTAATCTCAAAAGCAGCCAGAAGAAAGAAGCAGGAAAATATAAATGGTAGGAAGGAGGGAAATAGAGTGGGAGGAAGACTGAAGGTACCATCTTTTAGATACAATTACATAAAATAAAATAGGCAATTCTTATCAGGATTGAGTTAAGGTTATATTGAGATTCATCAACATGGAAATACCCTGGATACTTGCGTGCAGTGAAAAAGTCTTGAGTACCAAACCAGGGTTTTAAATCTAATGTTGAAAATAAGACTAAAATATTACATTACAAACTAAAGACAAATTTTCCTTGAAATAAAGATAATCAAGTAAAGAGAGTGGCAAATAACAATAGTTTTATTTAGTGCAAGAGTTCTTAAGAAAAATTATAAAATCGAAAAACGAAACTGAGCAATAAAGTAATAAACATTACCACTGGTAAATATTTGCCGGCAGCAGACAAAAAGTAGTAAAAGACAAAACCCAGGACTTCAGAGTTTTCAACCTAGATTACCTAGCATAATCTAAATTTACCGCTAGTACAGTCCATTAGATATTATGGCTTCATCCGTTGTTTATAGTTGCTCACTCGTTTTTTCAGTTGTTTTGATTTTAGGTGTAGGTTGTATGCATAGATCTATATAACATTGGCATGACGATGACACGGACCCCGAGAGAAAATATACCATTAAAAGCGGCTATTAAGGATTGTTTGTGCATCTTTTAATCTGGGAAATGCATATTTACCCCATAGTCTCAGTATAAACTATGTAAAAGTTACATAGAAGTTAACCACTCGCCCCGTTTTTATTTTAGGCGTGAATACTGCGAATAAATTCCAGCAGAGAGTTCTGTTTTTAACAATAGGATTTGCCCGAGCTTTGCTGATTATTCTAGCGTTTAGAATCTTCCGTTTGTGTAGCACTACTTGAAATCCATGACTCACAAACGCCAAGGCATGGAATCATAGGAAAGAACAGGTGAAAAGTTGTTACTAGTTGTGTCATGCAGACGCATACAACTCCCGTCATCCCCCGTGCAAAAACCAACAAATAAACAGAGGCACCGCATTTCAGATTCTGTTTCGCACAGATCGCAATGCTGTCTGGTTTTTGTAGTTTGCAGGTGGAGAACCGCCAGTGCATCCCT